GTGAGGAGGAGGAAAAGTATAAAAGTTTAGAAATACTATCAAAGTTAAGTTGTTATAAGTTTAAAATAGAATGCTATACTTTTAAGATAGTTATCTAAGCCTCATAGAAACCAAAGGGAAAAATGTGTAGTAATTACACAAAAGAACATGATAAAGAAATCAAAGCATACTGATACCAAAAGACATTAAAGGGAGCATGATTCCTCCAGCTTCATTTTTCTTTTTCAGTATTGCTTTGGCTATCTTGTGTTTCCATACTACATTTAAAATAATTTTCTCTAATTCTGTGAAAAATGCCTTTGGTATTTTGACAAGGATTGTACTGAATCTGTAGATTGCCTTGGGTAGTATGTTCATTTTAACAATATTGATTCTTCCAAGAGAAGAACATGGTATCTGTTTGTGTTGTCTTCAATTTCTTTTATCAGCATCTTATAGTTTTTGGAGTACAGTTCTTTTGCCTCCTTAGGTAGGTTTATTCCTAGGTATTTTATCTTTGTTGAGGCAATGGCAAATGGGATCATTTCCTTAATTTCTCTTTTTGATATTTTGTTGTTAGTGTGTAGAGATGCAACAGATTTCTGTTTAATAATTTTGTATCCTGCACATTTACTGAATTTCTTGGTGAACTCTAGTAGTTTTATGGTGGTGTTTTTAGGATTTTCTATGTATAGTATCACATCATCTGCAAACAGTGACAGTTTTACTTCTTTTCCAGTTTGGATTCCCTTTATTTCTTTTACTTCTCTGATTGCTGTGGCTAGAACATTCAAAACTATTTTAAATAAAAGTGGAGGGCGTGAGCATCCTTGTCTTGTTCTTGACTGTAGAGGAAATGCTTTCAGCTTTTCAGCCTTGAATACAATCTTAGTTGTAGGTTTGTCATATAGACCTTTATTATGTTGAGGTAGTTTCCCTCTATGCCCACTTTCTTGAGAGATTTTATCACAAATGGATGCTGAATTTTATCAAAAGCTTTTTCTGCATCTATTGATATGATCATATGGTTTTTATTCTTCAATTTGTTAATGTGATGTATCTCTTTGGTTGATTTTTGGATATTGAAAAATCCTTGCAAGCCTGAGATAAATCCCACTTGGTCATGGTGTATGATCTTTTTAATGTGTTGTTAGCTTTGGTTTGCTAGTATTTTGTTGAGGATTTTTGCATCAATATTCATAAGTGATATTGGCCTGTAATTTCTTTTTTGGTGTGATATCTTTGTCTGGTTTTGGTATCAGGGTGATTCTGGCTTCATAGAATAAGTTTGGAAGCATTCCTTCCTCTGCAATTTTTTCAGAATAGCTTGAGAAGGATAGGTGCTAACTCTTTAAACGTTTGGTAAAATTCACCTGTGAAGCCATCTGGTCTGGACTTTTGTTTGTTGGGAGTTTTTAAATTACTAATTCAATTTCATTACTGGTAATTTTTCATATTTCTTTTTGATTCAATTTTGGGATATAGTGTCTTTCTAAGAATTCATCAATTTCTTCTAGGCTGCCTATTTTATTAGCACATGGGTTTTCATAGAGCTCAACATCAAGAAAACAACTTGATTTAAACAGGTGCAGAATAACTGAATAAACATATTTCCAAAGAGGAAATGCAGATGGGCAAAAGGCACATGCAAACAAGCTCAACATCACTAATCATCAGGAAATGCAAATTAAAACCACAATAAGATGTCACTTCACACCTGTCAGAATGTCTGTCATCAAAAAAACACAAATAATAAATGTTGGCAAGGATGTGGAAAAAAAGGGAACACTGTACACTATTGGTGGGAATGTAAATTGGTTTAGCCACTTTGGAAAACAGTATGGAGGTTTCTCAAAAAACTAAAAATATAACTACCATATGACATAATAATTCCACTCCTGGGTATATATCTGAAAAAAAAATGAAAAAGTAATTCAAAAACATATGTGCACCCTAATGCTCGTTGCCACATTATTTAAAATTGCCAATATATAGAAGAAACCTAAGTGTCCTTTGACAGATGAATGGTTAAAGAAGTTGTCACATGTGTATACAATGGAATACTACTCAGCTATAAAAAAGAATGAAATTTTACCATTTGCAGCAACATCAATGAAATTGGAGAACATTATGCTAAGTGAGGTAGGCAAGAAACAGAAAGCCAAATGCTGTATAATATCACTGATATATGGAATCTAAGAAACACAATAAGCTAGTGAATATGACAAAAAAATAGCCAACTCACAAATATAGAGAACAAACTAGTGGTTACCAGTGGGAAGAGACAAGGAGGAGGGGAGCAAGGGGTACAAACTTTTAGGTATAAAATAAGTTACAAGGATATATTGTACAGCATGAGGAATATATCGAATATTCATAAATAACTATATATGGAGCATAATTGTTAAAATTTGCAAATCACTATATTAGCCATATGTAACATATAATATTGCACAATTGACTATACTTAAATTTTAAAAAAGCTTACCTTAAGAAACAGGAAATATGTTGAATAAAGAACCTAACTCTTCACCACAAGGAACTAGAAAAAGAAGAAAAAAGTAAGCCCACAGTTAGCAAAAGAAATAAAATAATAAAGACTAGAGAATAAATGAATGATATAGAGAACAGGAGAATATAGAAAAGACTTTTTAATAAAAGTAAGAATTGGTGTTTTGTAAACATAAACAAAATGTACAGACTTTAGCTAGACTAACCAAGGAAAAGGGAACATGATCCCAATGGAAAAAATAATTAAAGAAGAGATATTACAACTGATACCACAGAAATACAAAAGATCATAAGAGGCTACTATGAATGATTATATGCCAACAGAGTGGAAGACTTAGAAGAAATGGAAAAATTCTTAGAAACATACAACGTACCAAGCCTGAGTCAAGAAAAATAGAAAATACAGATAAATTACTAGTAAGGAGATAGAATCAATAATCAAAATTCTCACAGTGCAGAAAAGCACAGGACCAGAAGTCTTCACTAGTGAATTTTACCCAATATTTGAAGAAATTTATCTGCAATCCTTCTCAAACACTTCCAAAAAATAGAAGTGGAGGGAACACTCCCAAACACACTTTACAAGGCTAGCATTACCCTGATATCAAAACTGGAAAAGGACACTACAAGAAAAGAAAACTACAGAGCAATATTCTTGATGAATATAGATGGAAATTTTCTCAATAAAATACTAGCAAACCCATTTCAGCAGTACATTAAAAGTACCATTCACCATTATCAAGTGAGATTTATCCCAGATGGTTCAACATATGCATATAAGTAAATGTGATACATTACATTAATTTAATGAATTAAAAATCATATGATCATCTCAGTAGATGCAGAAAATGAATTTAAGAAAATTGAGCACCCTTTCATCATAAAATCTCTTAACAAATTAAATACAGAAGGAATGTATTTCAACACAATAAAGGTCTTATTAGCCAAGCCCACAGCTAACAATACTCATTGGTGAAACTTTGAAAGCTTTTCCCTTTAAGATTGGGAACAAGACAAGGGGGTCCATTCTCACTACTCCTATTCAGTATATTACTGGTAATCTTAGCTAGAGCAATCAGACAAGAAAAAGAAATAAAAGGTATGAGAATTGGAAAGGAAGAAGTAAAATTTTCTCTATTTGCTGATGACACGATTTTATATATAGAAAATCCTAAAGACTTCACCAAAAACTGATCTAATCCACAAATTCAATATAGTTGCAGGATACAATATTAACATAAAAAATCAGTATTGCTTCTATACACTAACAAAAAATTATGTGAAAAAGGAATAAAGAAAATGATCTAATTTACAATAGCATCAAATAAAATAAAATAAATAGGAATAAATTTAACTAAGGAGGTGAAAGATCTCTGCACTGCTAATTACAAAACATTGGTGAAAGAAAGCAAAAGGACACAAATAAATGGAAAGGCATCCTGTGTTCATAGGTTGGAAAATTAATATTGTTAAATGTCCACACTACCCAAGCAATCTATTCAATGCATCCCTATCAAGGTTCCAATGGCACTTTCTACAGAAGTAAAAAAAAAATAACCCTAAAATTTATATAGAATTACAAAGGGCCTCAAATAGCCAAGGAAATCCAAAGAAAGAATAAAGTAGGAGGCAACACACTTCCTTATCTCACGCTATATTATAAAGCTATAGTAATAAAAACAGTATAGTACTGACATAAAAACAGACACATAGAACAATGTAACAGAATCCAGAGTCCAAAAATAAAACAATGCATATATGGTAACCTAATATTTGGCAAGGGATCCAAGAATAGTCAATGGGGAAAATATAGTCTCAATAAATGGTGCTGAGATAATTCTATATTCACATTAGAAATATGAAACTAGATCCTTATATCAGTCACAAAAATTAAATTGAAATGGATTAAAGACTTAAATGTAAGATGTGAAACCAGAAAATTCTTAGAAAAAAATAGGAAAAATGTCCCTTGATATGTGTCTTGGCAAAGATTTTTTGGATTTGGTGTGTAAAGCAAAAGCAACAAAATTAAATAGAACCACATGAGACTATATCAAACTAAAAAGCTTCTGCACAGCATCAAAAACCCTTAACAAAATGAAAAGGCAAACTGCAAAATGAAAGAAAATATTTGCAAATCATATACATGGTAAGGGATGACCATCCAAAACATATACGGAAATCATATAACTGAATAGCGAAAAACAGAATAATCCAATTAAAAATGGTGAAAGGACCTGAATAGACTTTTTCCAAAGATGATACACAAATAAAAAAGAGTTACATGAAAAGGTTCTTGGTATCCCTGATCATTAGGGAAATACAACTTGAAACCATAATGAGATATCACCTCACAACTGTTAGAATGGCTATCATCAAAACGACAAGAGATAACAAATGCTGGTGAGAATGTGGAGATAAGGGAATCCTTGTGCACTGTTACTGGGATTCTAAATTGGTATAGACACATGGAAAACAGCATAGAAGTTCCTCAAAAAATTATAGAACATTCCTTGGTGGTCCAGTGGTTAGGACTTGGCACTTTCACTGCCCAGGCCCAGGTTCGATCCCTGGTCAGGGAAGTAAGATCCTACAAGCTGCATGGCCAAAAAAATAATTATAAATAGAGCTACCATATGATCCACTGGTTCAACTTTTGGATATATATCTGAAGGAAACCAAATGACTATCCAAGAAATATCTACACCCCCATGTTCATTGCAGTATTATTTCCAATAGCCAAGATATGGAAACAACTTAAGTGTCCATCAACAGATGTACGAATAAAGGAAACATGATATATATAGTGGAATCCTACTTAGTCATAAAAAGAAAGAAATTCTGCCATTTGTGCCAACATGGATGAATCTTGAGGACATTATGCTAAATGAAATATGTCAGACAGAGAAAGACAAATACTGTATGATCTCACTTAAATGTAAAATCTTAAAAACAAACACCCTCCCCCCAAAAAAACCCCACCAAACTCATAGAAGAAGTAATCAGACATTTGGTTACCAGAGATGGAGGTGGAGAATGAGGGAATTAGATAAAGATGGTCAAAAGAATAAGAAGTACAAACTTTCAGTCATAAGATAAATAAGTATTGGGGATGTAATGTACAACATGATGACCATAGTTAACTTTGCTATATGGTATATTTGAAAGTTTTTGATAAAGTAAATAATAAAAATTCTCATCACAAGGAAAAAGCATTTTTTAATCTCTTTAAATCTGTATGAGATGATGGACATTAATTATACTTATTATGGTAATCATTTCACAATATATATATCAGCTCATTATGCTATGCACCTTAAACTTATATAGTACTGTATCTCAATTATAACTCAATAAAACTGAAAGGAGCAAAAAGATGCATCTTGTATAATGAAGGCAGTGTCAGAAGCTCCTCTGTCACATTTCATGGTGCTTTGGTCTCCAGGATGACACCTGGTCATAGAGAACCCTCCAGAATTTTCTGTGAGCACTAGGTGTAAGAATACTCATCTCTAGATCTATATGTCTAATGTGTGGTAGTTTCTACTCTCAGTGACATTCCTGACCAGTTGAGGGAAAAGTTGTATGGTCCCATGGTACTCTCTCAGGTACTCTGATTTCTAGATGGGCCTTAGCCATCCAAATTTGTTACCCAGAGAACAGGTAGTCCCAGCTAATCACAAAGCCAAGCCATGCACAGGTAGGTAGAGTTACCTATTCTTTCCTTTTACCTTTCACTTCTTTATTATTCACTTACTTTTTATTTACCTATTTTTTGTAAATTTATTTCTTTCTCTTCTGCTGTCTTCCTTTCCTTTAAGTTTATCAAGTATATATTGTTCACATGTTTACATGCACTCCTCTACCAGCTGAAGTTCCCCTACCATATTCCTCAACAAACTGCCGCTGATAATTGACATTCCCTTGAACACAAGAGTCAGGCAGCATTAACCTCATATATGGGGTCACACATCATCTTTCTATGCCAGAGTGCCAGATCCCAAGCTTCATTTAGGTTAAGCCTATTTATATATAAATCATAGAATCTTAATATCATTATGCACACTTCCTTTAGCCCAACAAAGAATGAAAATAAAAAGAAAGTATGTTATTCAGCAACTTGTTCAATGTGACATTTAGAAATAATTTTCAGCTTTTTGAAGAGAAATTCATGTAAAACACATATTCAAAACACAGAGAAATTTTTCTCTCAGCAGAGACCATAAAACATAAAACTCTCTTTCTAATAGAAGAGGTGAAAAACTGGTATCTGAAACACCAAGACTGTTTTAAAGCAACCAATACCTCTTGCTATGTATGGCCTATGAAAGCCCAGTCCACTCTGGCATCTGAGATAAGAGATTTAGTTAAAGAGGGCACCCTGAAGGAGTAAACCTTATTTCTCATACTTTTCTGAAGAAAGAATAGAAGCCTCAAGCATGAAAGCAGTGTCCAGGTCATAAACTTCTTTTGGTCAGTGCTGACCCTGCAACAACCTGCCCTGAGATCCCTTTCTCTGGCCTACCTTGGCCCTTCATGGCAGTTTAGTGACCTCCTTCTGACCTCCCCTGCTTCATGTTAGCTCTGGACTGGCCACTTGGTTTTGACCCTTCCAGATAACTGATTCCACTCACTGACTACCCAGCACCTGACCTTCATTAAGTAGCCATTTATGTCTGGAGACCTTGCTGAGGAGCTCCCCTACACTGGCCTGAGCTTTATTTACACTTTGGAAAGCACCAAAAGATTTAGCTCTGGGAGATGATCTTCTTAGAGCTCAATACACAGAAAAACCTTCTCTATTTTCCAGTGAACTGCTTCTTCATTTCCCAGCTATTGACTCATAGTGACACAGCAGGGCTAGATCTTCAGCCTCTATTGTTCTCAGTCTAGTCTCTGAGACTAGTAGCCCAGCTTATAACCAATGCCACAAGGAGACAAAGAAATGGAATATTACTAGACCAAAATGGAAAGACACAATGACTCAGGAACCTTATTGTTTTCTCAAGCTGAATCTTGATGGCTTGCTTAGAGTTGGTTGGGATTTTCTGTGATGGGGCGATACAGAGAAAATAGAAAAACTGATTGTTCCATTCAATCCAGCCTTCAAACTCATAAGCTACCTATTTGGGACTGCCATATGACTATGAATACAGGCGTCATTACAAAGGCTTAGCAGAGATCAAGTGAGAGTATATCATCTGGTCTGGAAAGTAGAAAATCCTTAGCCAAACTCCATACAGGATTTGTTCAGGGACCTTTTCCAATCCTGATGTAACACTAAAGTCCTCTGACTTCTTTTCCTGCAACTCTCCTGCACAAATACTTCTCCAATTCTTTCTCAATCAAACAACAAGTGTTCTTATGCAAGTTAACTCATTCATATATACCTTGGGTATGTGTTTGGGGGGTGGGGTTATTCCTATTAGTTATATAAACAGGTAAACTCTAGAATTCTGTTTGGGCTTCATGTGGTCCCTGCCTTAAGGAGTTCACACTCTAAGAGACAACATACGTTGAACTATAATATGAAGCATACTTGAAGAAGCCCACAATGAAAGTATTAATTAGGTCTTTTGGGTTGATTAATTTTTCTGAGAGATTTAGGAAAGCTTTACAGAGGAGCAACCTTTGTTCTGGCTTTGTAGATATGAAATTTACATAAGCTCTGAGTGGAGAAAATGGAAAATAGGGAAAGGAGCACTCAAAATTGTGGGGAAAAGCCTAACAAAAAGATTAAAAATATCATTTTTTCTATACCACAGTCTACTGAGTTTCAGGAAGTTTGTATTTAATGACTTGTAAAATTCAGTTTTGTGGTTCAGACTGCCTGCTTGTTGCCTGAATTAAACATTGAGCTCTTACTATGTCCTTTGAATAAAGGAACAGAGGCATGCTTGACAGTTGAGTTACTCTGTGGCTGAAGGAAATGTAGGCTAAAAGATGAAATTCGAAACTTGAGACAGGGCCAGAATATGGAGAAATTGAAGATCAACTTAAGGAATTTGAGTCTGAGTTAGCTGCAAATGAGAAGCCACTAAAGGGATTTTAAGCGGAGGGGTAGCTTTATTAGAGATGTATTTTACAAAAATCGCTTTGGTAACATTAGAGGGGAATCAAAACATTTTGGAGGCTGTTGCAACATAAAGAAAGGATGAGGAGCTGAAAATAGATTGTAACGGTGGAAACAGAGGAAGAAATGTATCAGAGAGCCATTTTGAAGATAAAGTCAGCAGGACTTGGAGGTTGCTATGGTATGTAGAATAAAGAAGGCAGAAGCATTAAAAACAATTCTAAGATTTCTGATATATATGCCTGGGTGATGATGATAGTCGTAATGATGAACTATTCAGCATCTACTATGTTCCAGGTGCATCCATGTTTCATTTATTTTCACAATCTTTTAAAGTACATATTTTTTCTCCATTTTACATATGAAGAAACTGAGATTAAAAGAGGTTAAGTGATTTGTCCAAAGTTATATACTAAAAAAAAGGACTTGGTGCTCTGTATTCATGATTTTCAGTAATACTTTTTTTTTACATCTTTATTGGAGTATAATTACTTTACAATGGTGTGTTAGTTTCTGCTTTATAACAAAGTGGATCAGTTATGCATATACATATGTTCCCATATGTCCTCCCTCTTGCGTCTCCCTCCCTCCCACCCTCCCTATCCCACCCATCCAGGTGGTCACAAAGCACCGAGCTGATCTCCCTGTGCTATGCGGTTGCTTCCCACTAGCTATCTATTTTACGTTTGGTAGTGTATATATGTCCATGCCACTCTTTCACTTTGTCACAGCTTACCCTTCCCCCTTCACAAATCCTCAAGTCCAATCTCTAGTAGGTCTGTGTCTTTACCCGGTCTTACCCATAGGTTCTTCATGACATTATTTTTCCTTAGATTCCATATATATGTATTAGCATACGGTATTTGTCTTTCTC